TTTCCCCCTTTTCAGGGATTATGTTCCCAGTTTTGATCTCGGATGTCTGGTCATAAAAGTGAAAGCATGAATAGAAAGAGTTAAGAGACACGACACACCGCACAGAAACACTGTTGCAGGCAGGTGCAAACATAGACACCTGGGTTGGGCGCAGGTCAGACACTGCCTGGCTCTGGTGACCAAGCATCTCTGTTACAGATGGAAATTAAATTACAGTTTTTCTCAATAGCTTGAACACTATAACCAGTCTATTAAACTAAAATTTCAAAACCACAACTCCATTTTCCAAAAAGCCCACCCATTTCTCTAAACTCTACACACAAATACCTCCATTTCTCATTGCCTGCACCATGTGGTCAGGCAATGACTACACTACCACTATGGTTACAGTTGTGTGACCCAAATCCTCCGTGCCGACACTCAGTTAGAGACCTTTCACTTCCTGAACAGGCCACCTCATCAAGCCAGATTTGACCGGTTCCTTGACCAAAATGGGCCGACTGAGTGGCATTCAGTGCTCCACCACAGCCCAGCTGTCTGCACACCACCTTAGCATCATTTAAGTCCCAGCTGTCATCACAGACTGTTCCCCAGGTGTTGTTGTGATAGATTTCAACTCTTCCAGAGCACTGAGTAGACCCGGACCCAGTTAGTCTGATCTGAACACCTTCATTGCATGTAAGACATAACAGAGAGTATTTTAAAGACCAGTGCTAGACAAGTCCTTTCCAAAATGTAATACATTATAGATTACTAGTTACTGTCAATTGAGAGTAATTAATTAGAGTACAATATTACTGTCTCTGAAATGTAATGCTTTACATTACTTTTGAGTAACTTTCACTGCTTTTTAATTGGTGCATTATGCTCATAGTAAGATGTGCCTGCATATGTGGATCAGGATCAGTCAGGATGAACTGACAGCAGCCTCTCTGATCATGAAAGTTATTTGTTAAAGCACAGACACACAGCCTACAGAAATTTGATTGATCCATCAGGGGAGCTGCTGTAGTTTGCATCCTGCCGACCATCGCATTCCAGCAACAGGAAATAATGTTACTCTTTTACTTATGGATTTGTTTTTCTGCTGCCCAAATGTTTCTTGGTGTTGGTGAATTACTATAAAAACAAAACACCACTTAATTTCGGGTGCGTTGTAACACGCGCTACTGAGATTGTGATGGTTATAATATTACTGGTTTTTTTTAAGTAATGCATGTTATATTACCGCTTTACAGCAAAAAGCAATACATTACTGTAATTGTATTACTTTTGTAACGTGTTACTCCCAGATCTGATAAAAAATAAAGTAAACAGCAAACTAACATTACTGTACGCATGACACAGGAGAATGAACTGACCTGCAGCAGGTGAAGAAGCGGTCAGGAGGAAAAAGACTGTGGAACAGAAGAAATGACATGGCTCATTACATTCAGTAAACTGAAAAGTGCAGAAATGAAAGTTTTCCTTGTTTCTGTTTTAGATTCCCGTGTTTCTTTTAATGATAGGAAGTTTTTTAAATGGCCTTAAGAGACTTCTGTTCTATACAATACAACAACCCTGCTGTACAAAAAAGCTGCTTTTCAAATAAAATTTTGGAAAGTCTGTCTTACCAAGGGCCAAATAGCGTAGGTTTCTCTGCTGTATGCTCCCCATAGCTGACATGACAGCTGCTCTGTGTCAATTATCAGTACCAGCACAGATTAACTAAAAACTGCAGTGCACAGAAACATTTCACACAGCTTGTCCTTCCTGAAACACTTCCTGTTTCTGGTGTTTTTTTCAACCAAAAGCTGCAGCACTGAAGTACCACATCTATCACTAGTTATGGATATTGAAATTGTTGTTGATAAACACAAAGTTCCAAAAAACTGCTTTACCTCCTCCATATATGTTTCCATTTTGTGTGTAAACTAATGCACTGCACTAAGCTATTATCTCTCTAAATGTAATCTATTTTTATGCATTATGTAATCTAATTGTTTTCAGAATAATAAAGTAGTCACTGGTATTTTTCCAACTGTATCTGATTTTATGAGGCACACGAGTCTGCAAGAAGTGAAAGTGAGCGAAAGCAAAACTATAACTGGGTTTTTCAAAAAGCACACTTCATTTCTCATTGCCTGCACCATGTGGTCATTGAGAAAACACTGACATTCAATATTGTTCACTCAATCAGCACAGGTTGAGCTCAATGAGCACACAGCTACCCAGGTGGAAACACAAGGAGTCAAAATTGATCACACACCAATCAGAAGCTTTATAAAAGGGCCAGAGTCAGTTCATTCAGTTTTGGAACAATGGATCCAGAGAAATCTAAAGAGAAAGGTCTAGGACATGAGAGAGGAGGAAGAGGGAGAAGAAGAGGAGGAGGAAGCAGGAGGAGCAGATAGATAGATAAAAGTTCAGTTCTTTCAGTTTTGGAACAATGGATCCAAACAAATCTGAAAGAAGACATAGAGGACACCAGAGAGGAGGAGGAGGAAGAGCAGTATGGAGAGGAGGAAGAGCAGTATGGAGAGGAGGAAGAGGTGAAGGAAGAGGAACAGTAGGAGTTGGAGGAGGAGATGTGGAGGAACAGAAGTTTACATTTGTTATTTCTTTTTTTGTGTTCATTATGTGAAAGGTTTTTTGAGGGGGAGAACCACAAGCAACATTACTTATAACCAGTGTTTGTATTACAAGCAATCGAGAAAAACTTTAATGCTTGTGAGACAAAGACGAAACCGCAGCACGTCCCAGAAGGCAGAAAGGCATTGGCCTATTTTAACCCGCGCAGCTTTTCTGGCATTTACTGTACTGGTTTAGCGGATCAGGAAACGGAGATTCACCAGAGCCTTTTTGGAAACTCACACGAATTGAGGAGACGAAAGGGACAAGAGATTTCACATGGCTATTAATCAAGAATGTAGAGATTTTTACATGGACGTTCCTCCCACGGGCAGTTCAAAACCAGAATATCTCATAGATCTCCAATGCTAGCTGGCAGGAGAAATCTCA